TGTCAACAACATACCTTTTCGCCTACTCCAAAGAAAGCAGAAATGCACGGTCTCTTTGAAAGATTAACCATATAAACAAAAGATGACAGCGCATCCATATTCAATAAAAACATGGCGGCAATAGGTTTATTATTTTCGTTCTTCTTGGTAAATTTCACAAGTGATTTTTTCTTTATCTAGATATTTCTGGAGTAATTGGGTGTCATTAATTTTACAAAACGTATGGTTTTCCGGCATTGTGGTTCCAATAGTAAAAAGTACGCGTTTTGTTTTTAGGACGTTGGCTGACAGTATTTCTCAATTATTCATTGTTTTTAAAAATACGTCTGGCTCAGATCTAGAAAGAGCTTGAAACGCCTCGCGTAATTCGGCATACTTTTTTTTTCAAACCATTTTGAACAACATATTTACAAACTTAATTTTGGTATTCGGTGGATTCATTACATTTATAATTCTTCGTATATATATATATAATTTTTGAAAAATGGTTTGACTTGACACTGGACTGAATTTTTTAAAAAAATTCTTTTATTTCCTAAAATCTAACCTCTCTGTTTATTGATTCTTTCGTGAGTTTCTTCCGCTATTTTTTTTTTTCACGAAATGCCTTTAAATCATAAAAACTCGTTCATGGAATTGTTCAATGTTGCTCATTTGATTTTAGGTCCGTTCATTTCCTCGACAAAAAAAGGATAATCTCGCAATAATATCGGGACATTTTTGTCTCGGCCTCCCTTTATTTTGATGTTATAAGCAGGCACGAGAATATGAGACTCAAATCTCTATTTTATAATTTTTAACTAGGGCTACAATATTTTCTGGAACCAGTATATCTTTTTCAAGTCCCTCGCGCAAGAGTGGAATTGACGCCATTGTTCAACAAAGTAGAAATCTTATCGATAAATCCAACGCGCAATTACCCAACAAGCGGGTTACCGGGAAAGCGACGCGCAAAACAGTCTATCGCGAGAAAGAGAAACAAATTTGTCACAATGGACATTGGCAGTGTCATCAAAGAAAAAGTTGAAAACCTGTATGCGCTAAAGAAAATCTTTACAATGACATTGGCACATTGATTCGTTTAATAGAAGCATTCTGATTACAAGAAAAGTTATGGTAAAGTGAATTTGACTCGTGTACAGTGTGTAATGAGAATGATGCGGTGGTCAAAAAAGTAAAACCAAAGCATGTACAAAGAACGGAAAGGAGTACAAGTTTTTGTCAAAGCTCGCAATATGCCCGATAGGAAATATTCGTGCGGTGCATAAGATGATATCAGACGGCATTATAATACGATTGAGGAATACGTATATTGGTTTGTCTGCTTATTGAGTATACTTGTAATAATCAATCAATTTACTCATTGTCATTGTAGCCGTCCCAAGGCTTCGTCTTTGATAGGAATGCATTCTCGGTTTTGCGTTTTCGCTTTCGTTGGAACAGATGACCGTCAACTGGAAATTGCTCACTAAACACAAATTAGAACATAATTCTCGTATACTGTGCGATTGATTTTTTAAAACGAGGTTCAATCTTTCTCTACTCTTTTTGTCCAGATTCATTGATAGATGTTACTTATGCTCCTCTAATTCAACGTTGTCCGGGCGAAAGTCGAAGTAGATCTTATACTATTCAAGTCGTATTATTAACGTTAAAGTCAGAAAGAAATAAATATAGTTGGAGCGATGACTATAAATTATAAAGTTTCCCGCTGATAAAACATGCTAATCATGTCTCTGACCCAATAACCTTTGTAAGCTTTCCCTTGACCTTGTTCTCATAAACTTCAAACACGTCCTCGGCATCTTTCCCCAAAATAAAAAAGCCTGGTATAAAAGCATACGCAAATTGTTATCGACAATAACGCTCTAAAGATATTCATCTTACTGATACACTCACCATGTCCACGCCTTACAAATACTTTAAATTGAGGATATGACCATTTACTCAAAAGACTCATCATAGCATCCATGTCCTCTCTAGTAGAAAATCTCGTCTCTTTCTCACTGACCGGGATTCCCAACTTTTCACAAATATCATCATCGCCGACTACATGACCGTGCATAGCAAACCCTGGTTTCTCTGACCATTGGAACATATCTGGTGCCCGGATGAGACATGCCCAGTATAGTAAAGTATCTGATGTTGGTTTAATGTTTTCGCTAGAGCTGTAGTACTCACATTGCCACGAATCTGCATCGAATTTATTTACGTAAGCAATATCTGATTTCAGTAGATAAGCGCGAGCTTGTTTTCCCGATTTCGTTGTTAATAGTGCCGTCGGAGGAGATAATGAGAAAGACGCATGTACAACGGCGCATGCATTTCCTCCCACGCGACCATCAGGCAAGACAGGCGCTGCACCATTGTCCTCTAGAATGTTGAGAGCTTCTGAAAGACTTTTGTGATACTCATCGAATAGAGTTATATGCGGGAGTCGACCGCGGTAGAGTAGGGAGAAGAGAATACGCTGAGAATTGGTTAAGGAAGACTTGAATCTGTCATTAGCGAATTCTGTCCACGTGTCAAATACGTTAAGTGCTATCCAAAATTTGTACACTGCCATACATGCTTCCTAGGGAATATCTGACAATTTGCGCAATTTCGGTGAAAAAAGGAAAAAATTTCGCTGTGTTACATGCCGAATAAATTCCTGATCATGTGTAACTGGCGGAATATCAGTCAGGTGAAATCCCGAACGCGAACATTTCCGACGCGTCTTTTACAGAGCGAGTGAACGCTAGAGTTAAAGACAGGCAAGTATTCAAGTATTCATCAGTGTTTGATACTCAGCTGTCAACCGCGCATGGCTCTACTGTCGTATGGCGTATATAACCTTACCCCCAGCGTCAGATGCTTGGAGGCAGTCTCCTGGGTTCCGCCCTGATGCATAGTCCACAAGGCCTGATCCCGGCATGCTGTTTTCCAATGCCATGTTATGTATACCTACTGGTGTATGGCGTATAACTTACCCCCAGTGCCAGATGCTTGGAGGCAGTCTCCTGGGTTCCGCCTTGTACTTGATGCATAGTCCACAAGGCCTGATCTCGGCATGCTGTTTGCCAGTATACTGTCGGTTGTGCATGCTTTGTTTCATGAGTTGTGTTTATATCATTGGATTATAATAATGCTCACCAGCCTTTGTTAACCTTAAGGATGTTTGAATCAAGTATCGAAGACTATCTCAACAATACCACGTATACAGACTGGTCTATTCTTTCGATTTTAGAACATGTGGACTCCAAGAAGAAAATTTATATCGATGATATTGGTGACCTCAAATATGCTATTTATAGCTCGTTGCGACGCTACAGACGGCGAAAGAATATTCTATCAAGGGTTAACACAAAGTTGGAGAGACTTTTGAAAAACTACGATAAAACATTTGGTGCACCAAAAGTCAAACTGTTCTTGAATCACCTCAGAATAAGAGAAGACGAGGAGGACCTGCAAGTTTCAGTACGACGAAATATGACAGCCACATACACTGTTGAAGCACTTAAAGACTACCACCGCAACAAGAATACAGAGAGGCAGCTGCAGTCGGAAGATATTGACCATACGGTAAGTAGACTCTGTTGCATGACAAAAATGATTCCAATTTAGCTTAAATAATTTATTTGTGATGTCAACATTTCCATATTTCTATGTCATTCAATTGATATCGTATATTAATATGTCCAGGAAACACTGAACAATGCCCCGCTGCAAAATACTCTGGATGGTGAGCTAGACAATATGTTAGATGAGAACATCCAAAGATTAGCAAGAAAGAGACGAGGTGAAGAACTGCCTTCAACACCACCAAATAAGGTCAGTATACTGTGTATAAATATTTGCTCTATTATTACCATTGCCAGCTCCGCCATATTCTTTTAATAATTCAGGAGTTCACGAGACATCTATAAACCCTTTTGTCATATGTGCATAGATCAGAACATTTAATGTGGATGCTTTTCAACGAGAGCAAAATTCATCATCCTATTACGGAGAGTCTGATTCTGACTCTGGTCCTGAAGTCGTGAAAAGCATTCCGCTTACGAATGTCTTTCTGGATGTTTCTCCTTTTGAACAACAAACATCAGCCATTTCCGTTGAGTCTGTTGATATAGATGAAGTTGGTACCGATTCAAGCCTATCCTTGGTGTCAGAAAAAGATGGAAAGCAAAAACTAATCAGAAAATATATTGGACACGACTTAGCGGACGAAGTCTTAAGCTCATATAAGATACGAGTCATGCCGGGTGAGAAATTGATATAT